AAGACGCACATGGCAGAGGATGGATCTTGCAGCAGTATGAGAAGGCGGTACAGGGGCCCGTGGCACAGTGTGGTGATGGGGGCTACAGCAACTGGATGCCAGAAAAGTGGCCGATAGGGCTATATACTGCATGACTACATAGGTGGTTTTTATAGTACTTTATTTTGGCCTCCCTCTTCAGCAGCTGTGAAAAAGGCCACCATTTTTGAAACGGTAGCCTTTATTATCACTAATTATTTCCTTATAATTTTTGGGATTTGTTGACATTTGGTACTGTGTCCATTCAGAAGTTCAGATACATCCAAATCTCCAAATTTTCATCTGAAAAACAAAACATAATTAAAACGCAAAGCACATGTCTATTAAAAATAATATATACAGTGGGGATCGAAAGTTTGGGCACCTTAGCTAAAATTTGTATTAATGTGCATAAAGAAGCCAAGGAAAGATGGAAAAATCTCCAAAAGGCATCAAATTACAGATTAGACATTCTTATAATATGTCAACAAAAGTTAGATTTTATTTCCATCATTTACACTTTCAAAATAACAGAAAACAAAAAAATGGCATCTGCAAAAGTTTGGGCACCCTGCAGAATTTATAGCATGCACTGCCCCCTTTCCAAGCTGAGACCTGCCAGTGTCATGGATTGTTCTCAATCATTGTCTGGGAAGACCAGGTTATATCAATCTCAAAGGTTTTAAATGCCCAGACTCATCTGACCTTGCCCCCAACAATCAGCACCATGGGGTCTTTCTAAGCAGTTGTCTAGAAAACTGAAACTGAAAATAGTTGACGCTCTCACAAAGCTGGAGAAAGCTATAAGAAGATAGCAAAGCATTTTCAGATGTCAATATCCTCTGTTCAGAATGTAATTAAGAAATGGCAGTCATCAGGAACAGTGGAAGTTAAAGCAAGATCTGGAAGACCAAGAAAAAAATATCAGACAGAACAGCTCGCAGGATTGTGAGAAAAACAATTTCAAAAACCCACGTTTGACTGCACGATCTCTCCAGAAAGATCTGGCAGACACTGGAGTTGTGGTACACTATTTCACTATAAAGAGATACTTGTACAAATATGGTCTTCATGGAAGAGTCATCAGAAGAAAACCTCTTCTACGTCCTCTACACCACAAAAATCATCGTTTGAACTTTGCAAATGAACATATAGACAAGCCTGATGCATTTTGGAAACAAGTTCTGTGGACCGATGAGGTTAAAATTGAACTTTTTGGCCGGAATGAGCAAAGGTACGTTTGGAGAAGAAGGGCACAGAATTTAATGAAAAGAACCTCTGTCCAACTGTTAAGCATGGGGTTGGATCAATCATGCTTTGGGGTTGTGTTGCAGCTAGTGGCACAGGGAACATCTCACGAGTAGAAGGAAAAATGGATTCAATAAAATTTCAGCAAATTTTGGATGGTAAACTTGATGCCATCTGTGAAAAAGCTGAAGTTAAAGAGAGGATGGCTTCTACAAATGGATAATGATCCTAAAATACACCTCAAAATCCACGGGGGATTACATCAAGAGGCGTAAGTATGTGTAGCATTACCCTCTTGAGGGCCGCTGAGTATGTTTGGGTTCCCTGTCTGTCCTGAGCCTGCTTTGGAAGTACAGCCCCTGCTGACACCACTGTGGATCTTTGACCAGCAGGACTCCCTGGCTTTGAACCATAAAATAAACACACACACACCTATTGAGGTCAGAATATAAAGGGTGCAAGCACAACAAGAATGACAGTAAATGTGCATAAAAGAAAAGGTAAACACTCTAAAAGGTTCAACAAAGTAATACACAGTATCACTTTAAGCAACCCCAAATGTCCTGCAGGATCAGAACTTAAACATCAGTTCCAGCTCCTAAAATATCTCTCCCCCAAGTGAGCTGGAGTAAACTATCAAGATCTCAGTCTAACTCACTTTGGGGTTGTCAATCGCTGGTAACTGGGTTTAACTCTGGAGATGAATACTTTTGTTATGAGCAATAGTGTCCCCTCTTTGCTTCTCTATAATTGAAGGTGTCCAGTCTTCTGGGCGCTTGATGAGGCCCTAGATGGTGCACATTAAGGTTCAAATACTTCCTTGTGTAAGAGCAAGATTTCCCTAAGATGGTATAGACACAGAAATATTCCCTCTTTGAGTGATGCTGAAACTGAGTAAGGTCTATTTAATGCAGAGGATGAAGACAAGAAGCAGCTAAAATTGTGGAAAGGGGCAGAAGTAAACTTCAGCAGAGGTTGAACCCCTAAAGATGTGCACTAGTCTGGTGAAGCAAGTTCCTTTTGGAATTGGAAGAGGCTTGAGTTGAGATAATAATGTGATCCTGTTGCAGGGGGCATGTGCTGTAGCCAGAGTCCTGAGGCTTCAGCATGTTGGGGTGACACTAAGTAGTAGGACGTAATAAAGAGTGGACTAGGCAGTCTGGACCTCAGTTTGATAAGCTGTGGTGTAAGGGGTACTGAACTTAACAATTTAATTTTATCACAGTCACTTGCAACTTGTGATGATCTGGGTTTGGAACCCTCTCACTGAGTGTACTGAACTGAACAATTTAATTTTATCACAGTCACTTGCAACTTGTAATGATCTGGGTTTGGAACCCTCTCACTGAGAGACTACCTCTTACTCTGCAAAGACTACAGACCATTGTAGCCTTTGCAGAGTAAGAGGTAGCCTCTCAGTTGGGGGCCCCATGTGTGCTTTTGGCCTCTCTGTTAAGGAGTGATTCCAATGACAGCACTACGATTCACCTGCCCGCAGGATTGACTGTCCTGCTAGTCAGTGATACCAGTGGTCTGCAGTCCTTCTTTTCTCCCCCTACTCAATGGCCCTATCCAATCCAGATCTCTGGACTCCCACACAGCCTACTCCACACACACACCTGTCCTCCACCTCCCACCACCTACTTCCTATATATATGCTCCCACCCCTTTGCCAGCTCTTTTGGGAAATGTAGTCTGTTCACTCCTTGTCTGAGCGCAAAAGTTCTGCTACCAGCATACAAGTTCAACAAGGCTTTTCTTCAATAGTCTGTCTATATAAACTGCAGAACACTGCCATCTTGTGTTTAATTAACATCCTGCATAGTATTAATGCAGTGTGTTACATATGTTTAAATTAATGAGATTATGACATTATGATGCATATGCACAACAACAGAATTTCATATCAATGACTAATAAAGCAAAGCTTTGCTTTTATATTTCCTTTTTTTTCAAATACAGAACAGATAGACTATTTCCATTTTTTCCTGTTTAAGTCTTACAAGCTGCAGAAAGGCTTTTTTTATATTAAATTTTGTAAAAGGCTGCAAGGAAACTTGAAATATTGGTGCCCTCCCTTTATATGTACAGTACAGTAAACAGTGATTTAAAATAATTAAAATGTTCAGTCAGTTCTTATAACTAAACTGTAAACTCTTAATACTGTCCTCTGGCAACTATTTCATAATCTAACATTTCAAGCTGATTCTCTTGATTTATTTGAAAACGTATCCTTAATTAATTTCAAATTGTGCCTAGTGGAACAGCAATCTAAACCCAATAAAATGTCTGTCCTAAAATTCCGCCAGGCCTTTCTACATGCTAAATATTTATAATGCATCCACTTAGCTACTTTTACTCTCGAGAGAATGAACATCACCATTCACATCATTCAGAAGAAAGTGTTTTATCCTTGAAGAATCGTTCCAGAGAGCAATTCTTAATTTCAGGATGCCTTTGATTTACTAGGATGTTTTTTCTGTAGTATAGAAATCTGAGGATCTCGCAGGCAATATGTAACAAACAGTGTACCTGAGCTGGCTATATTGAAGCCAAATTGTAGCTTTTTTTTATGTTAACTAGATATCTAAATACAAGACAAATATGTAATGTATTGTGCAGATGGAGGCTACAATCCCCATAAGAGCTCACAGTTTACATACCCCAATAACGTTCATTCAAATGTCGCTGAATAAATATTCCAATTCGTCAGTCTCGCTCCACTTTAGTCCTAGGGGAACTAAAGGTTCTCACAGATGGATGCAACAGTGCAGTTACTAACCAGCTGCTTTCACCGTCCTTTGTGGATATATAAATTAATTCAATAAAGCAATAGAAAATGAACCTCTGACTTCAGAAAAATGATTCATTGCTATAGTTTACTGCATTTTTTCACTGTGGTTGTATTTTGCATTGCTTTACTGAATAACTATAGAATGCTAGTTCTAGCTCAGACTCTTTAACCCCTTCTGTGTGCCTCTCTTTAGTAGACATCTTTTGAGAGTGCTTTATTTTCTTGCTTGCATTCAACTGCCCCCAAATCTGTGCAGTAGATTATAAAAAGTCTAGGCAGCAAAGAGACAAGTGTTGGCTAGCAATTAAACAAGTAATTCAGGGACCAGATAGAACAGAATGATAGGAGACATAGGGATCACAGAGAACAGTCCATAAACCAGCAGGGGTTAAACCAGGTGTGTGTATTTGATGCCAAAGGACTATAGAAAAGCATGTTAGGAAGCATTTTCAGATGTTGCTGCCAAAGCCATAAGTCAAAATAAGAGAAAGTTGCAAAATATGCATTCCTAGTGTGACCCATTGATATTGTGTTAGATGTAGTATATTAACTGCCTCTTGCCCGCAATATAAGGCAATGATGGGCGCAAGGCGGTTCTCTCATTCTGGGAGGATGTCATATGACGTCCTCTTATTCTAACTGCACATGCGTGGCTCCGGGAGCACGCAGCGTGGCAATCGGCGGTGCGCTGTGTCCCTCGGACACAGCGGATCACCGATCAATGGAAAAAGCCGAAGATTTCAGCTCGGTTATGTGATTAGCTGTGTCCAATTACAGCTGATCGCATGTACATAGGGAAATGACGGTTATTGGCATTTTCTCTCCTCACGAGCTGTCACGCTGACAGCTCGAGAGGAGAGGAGAGCCGGTAATCGGCATTCCTCGGAGGGGACATGTACACTGATCATCAGGGCACTGATGATCAGTGTAGCCCCAGCAGTGCCACCTGTCAGTGTCCATCAATGCCAGCTGTCAGTGCTCATCGGTGCCACCTGCCAGTACCCATCAGTGCCACATCAATGCCACATATCAGTGCCTACCAGTGCACATCAATGCAACATATCAGTGCCCATCTGAGCTGCCTTTCAATGCCACCTATCAGTGCCAGTCAGTGCCACCTATCAATGCTGCCAATCAGTGCCATCTATTAGTACCAGTCAGTGCCGCCTTTCAGTGCCAGTCAGTGCCGACTATCAGTGCCACCAATCAGTGCCACCTGCCAGTGCCTACCAGTGCACATCAATGCAACATATTAGTGCCCATCTGAGATGCCTTTCAATGCCATCTATCAGTGCCAGTCAGTGCCACCTATCAATGCCAGTCAGTGCCACCTATCAGTGCTGCCAATCAGTGCCACCTATCAGTGCCAGTCAGTGCCGACTATCAGTACGCATCAGTGCCACCTATCAGTGCCACCTGCCAGTGCCCATCAATACCACATCAATGCCACATATCAGTGCCTACCAGTGCACATCAATGCAACATATTAGTGTCCATCTGAGCTGCCTTTCAGTGCCATCTATCAGTGCCAGTCAGTGCCACCTATCAATACCAGTCAGTGCCACCTATCAGTGCTGCCAATCAGTGCCACCTATCAGTGCCAGTCAGTGCCAGTTAGTGCCGACTATCAATGTGCATCAGTGCCATCTATCAGTGCCCGTCAGTGTTGCCTATAAGTGTCACCTAACAATGCCACTCAGTGCCACCTAACAGTGCCAGTCAGTGCCGGCTATCAGTGCCAGTCAGTACCACCTATCAGTGCCATATATGAGTGCTGCCTTTCAGTGCCCATCAGTGATGCCTGTCAATGCCCATCAGTGCCACCTACCAGTGCCTCCTCATCAGTGCCACCTATCAGTACCCATCAGTGCTACCTATCAGTGCCAATCACTGCAGCCTCATTAGCGCATATCAGTGAAGGAGAAAAATCACTTATTTGCAAAATATTACAACAAAAACTAAGAAAAAAAAATTTTTTTTTAATTTTCAGTTGTTTTTGGTTTGTTTAGCAAAAAATAAAAACCCAGAAGTGATTAAATACCACCAAAAGAAACCTCTATCTGTCTCAAAAAATGATAAAGATTTCATATGGGTACAGTGTTGCATGACCGCGCAATTGTCATTCAAAGTGCGACAGCACTGAAAGCTGAAAATTGGCCTGAGCAGGAAGGGAGTATAAGTGCCCTGTAGGCTAGTGGTTAAAATCATACTTGGCAGAACAGCCCTGTGGAACTTGCATGCTGAACAGCAGGACTTCACTGGGGAGCAGAGTACCCAGGGACTTCATTTCCCAGGGGAGCTAGCATGTGGGCGGGGCCATTTATATCTCAAGGCCCGGGAGACTGAGCAGGAAGTGAGAGATCGAAAGAGGAGGAAGTGTGCTGATAGTTGCAATATTGGACCAGGCTGCAGAGCCAGAGTCAGAGAGGGAGGAGGAGCGGAAAGAGTCTGCCGATTGTCAGTCTTGCCACGCTACCCAGCGAGTCAATCTGTTAGCAAGAGACCAGATGGGATGCCGAATCAGAACTGGAGAGTTTTTGGGGGCCCCCATCTGCAGAGAAAGACAGACCACTAAAACCTGCTGGACACCATTCATTATGTGAGAGAGTCCTATACACCCACTAAGTGAACACTGACAACTTCATCATATTGGGCAGCACAGTGGCTAAATGGTTAGCACTTTCGCCTGGCAGTACTAGGGTCATTGGTTCGAATCCCAAACAGCACCACCTACCTGGAGTTTGCATGTTCTCCCTGTGCCTGCATGGGTTTCCTCCAGGTACTCCAGTTTCCTCCCACACTCCAAAGACATGCTGGTAGGTTAATTGGATCCTATCTAAAATTGGCCCTAGTACAGTATGTGTATGTATGAATGTAAGGTATGGACTTTAGATTGTAAGCCCCTTGAGGATTAGGGACTGATATGAATATACAATATATATGTAAAGCTCTGTGTAAATTGACGGCGCTATATGAGTACCTGTAATCAATAAATACATCTGCTATCTATCTGCACATAGTTGTGGGCACTACACTTAGTTTCCCCAGTTTGCAGCCTAGTTCTCCCAGCCATCATCATTGGAACACATTTGCATTACAGTCTCTTCAAACAAGCTGAGCACAGGACACACAGCTGCAGTCCAGAATACAGCAGTGCCAACTACTGAAACAATAAATTTACACTTCCCAGGTGAACTGGATTTCTACTACTGTTGCCTTTGGCCCTTGTCATCCAGAGATAGTTGTTCTTGCTCCCAGACACTAATGCCAATTGTTGCACTTCACTACTTCAAATCTGTCCTTGTTTAGTGACTGTCCTCTACACCTTAGAGCATCTGCACATCAATTGGGCCCCAACTAGCATGCAGAAGACTCCATATTGTTCTTAAAGGGAGATTGGTTGATTATAGATGCGAGCTCTCTCCATTTTCAAATCTAATCCTTGCCATCAGGTTCTGAGGACCTGCAGTGAGCTTGTCTGTTTATTGATAGTCGTTCTTGCTTGCTGGGGATTCAACAGCCACCTCAGATTCAAGGCAGTAGATTATTTATGAAAGCAGGCCTGCTAACAGTAACTAATTCTTTACTATGGATGCTGTTACTTTTACTTAAAGTTGACAAGAGTGATTATATTTGCTGCATATGGTCATGTTATTTTGTACTTTTTGATCAAGCTATGTTCAAATTCAATGTAAACTTCATATTCTAAAGATCTATCCCAGGAGGGCTATCTGTGGAATTGTATCATACCCTGGTGGTATTAAGATGTAATTATTATTTTATTTTGGTAAGGGTATTCATTCCTTACAAAAATAGAAGTGTACACTGGTTGCATTGGTCATAAAAGCCTTTTGGAAGGCTCAGGCACCTGGATTGTTTTTAAAATCACCATTTATGACTATAATTTTTTGAGGACACAAGTGTGTGATTTTTGCACATTGACATTATTTTGGACACTATTATTTTGGACAATTTTTTTTTTGTTATTTTAATTTCTGTTATTTATTTTATATATAATTTTATATATTCTTGTTTTTCACATTGTGGGAGATTTTTTGATTTAAGTAGCAGATTATTTGCAGTTAATTACCCACCATGCCTCTCTACATTGTTAAAGATCTGGCATGGATACCCTTTCTCATTTTTAGGCAGAGTCACGGCAGTGAAGATGAATGTTTTGCCAAAATTATTGTACTTGTTTCGAGCACTCCCAATCTCGGTCTCAAAAACTTTTTGATATCAACTTTTTGTTAAGGAGAGAAGGATTGCCAACATGAGTTCTCTAGCGCGTTTCTAATTCCTGGGTAAGTTGCTGAATTTGTTTCCACTGTTCCCTGTTTCCATGGATATAAGGCAGCCTCGTAGGACCGCCTTATGGGCCACCCACAGAGTAGCCAGGGAAATATCAGGAGTGGCGTTCAGCTGAAAGTATTCTTGGATTGAAGCAACTACTTCCTGATGAGAGTTAACATCAGTAAGCATAGAATCGTTTAATTTCCAGGAGTAGGGGGTAGGTGCTAGACCTATTAAAGTGATAAAGAGTGCTACTATGTTATGATCCGACCAAGAGCATATATGTATACAAGCCTTCCTGGAGTTGGCTAGCAGTATAGGGGAGCAATAAATATAATCCAGCCAAGCATAAATGAATAATCCCTCACTCCCACATTATGTGCCCTCCAGGAGTCTATCAATTGGAATGTTTCTAGCTTTTTAGTGAGGGATTTTGGAAAGTTTGGGAAGGAAGGTGAGGATGAATTTCTGTCTAGAAGGGGGTTAGCTACCAAATTAAAGACACCTCCCACCAATAAATGGGGGATAAGAATTTATCCAGAACTGTAAAAAAGTGTTGAATAAAAAGGATGCTTGCACCACACTAGGTGCATAAACATTGGCGGTCGTGAGTGCATGACCCAAAAGGGCACCTTTAAGAATGATAAATCTGCTTTCGTGATCCCGATAAACATGTTGAACATCAAAGGGGAACGAGTTGTGGAGAAAAAATTGCTACACCTCTACTTTTAGTAGAGTTTAAGGTGTAAAACCCCTGCTTGTAGGATCTGTGGAAATATGTGGGGTGTTTAGCGGCTGCGAAATGGGTTTCCTGTAACAAAATAATCTTTGCTTCTAGGCGTCTATATTGGAAGAAGGATGTTTTATGCTTGTTTGGGTAATTAAAACGCTGGACATTATGTGAGATACAGTAAACCACCATGGCAAAAAAAAATTGTATCTGTCAGCATAATTATAACCATCTGAAAATTATCAAAAAAAGATTGACTAATCAGTAGAACATCTAGATCTGCATCATGTAAGAAAAAAATCTGTCAGTATCATTTTATGAAACAACCCAGTCCCAAAATTGTGTATGACCACCATGGGGTCACGTGTCAAGAAATCACATGAAATCAGCATGCGAGCTGTAAATAAAGGGTTCTAAGACCCATGTAAGGAAAATTTTTTTGGCGTCCCAATGACTAAAGGATTAATCAAAGTTAACAAACACATATGAATATGATAAAGCTGCAGCATGTCTCAACATCTTATCAATATAATGAGGTATATGCAAATGAGCAAAATCCCTTTCAACTCGCATCTTCTCTGACTCTCCTTCTTTCCCTATGTGGAGATGGAGTGTTCTAGATAGGAGATGCCTGAGGTATGGGGGGTGGACGTTGAGGTGAAGGAACGTCCGCCAGGCCTAATTTAGCCAGAATTTCTCATCCCCCGAGAGGAGATGTGGCTGTGTATGTGCTGCCATTGTGTGGAACTATCAACTTAAAGGGAAAGCCCCACTTGTAGCGATGCAAACCGAGAAAAGGGCAGATGTGATTTCCTTCATTTTTCTGCGCTTCTCCAATGTAGCGGGTGATATATCTGGAAAGACTTCCGGAGTTGAACCTTCAAAATAAATCATGGTGGTATAACGAGCAGTCCTAACTATGTCTTCTTTGGTCAAGAAATCTTTCATACACAGAACAATGTCCCGAGGCGGTTTATCGTTTGGGCATAGAGCTCCATGGCTATGGTCGCATGCAAAAGATCTAGGACCATGGTCCGGAAGAAGAGACTTAAAAAATTTAGATTTAACTTGTGAAAGATCAGTCACAGTTTCCGGAACTCCCTGAATGCTCCTGATTATTCCTGCGATTGTGATTATCGAGATCCTCCACCTGTGCCTGCAACTGTGTAAACGCCGTTTCTAAATGGTCATGATCTCTGGAGAGCTCGCCATAAGCCAAGCTGAGCTCATTGTGTTTGGTTTCTAAATGGTTGGTTCTGGGGCCCAACGCAGCTATTTCCTGAGAGAGGACCTTTGTACTCTTGTGGAGTTCTGATTGGAATTTAGCGGCCAACTTGGTG